GCAATTAATTGCTCTGTAGAATCTAGAAAATGGCAGTACTCTGGGACCTGATAACTCATTTTCAAGACCTCATGCTAAAGGTTCTGTGAATACCTTCAGGGCAACACAAGTTGCCTTGCAACACTCACAAAACTGTACAGTCACGTCTTGAGGAACAGACATTTATGCACCTTTTCAGCTCTCTTGGGATGAGAAAGTGATTACTGAGGCAACTGACCTCATTCAGAGTAAAACATCATCTATGACTTTTAGCACTTGGTCCAGAGCAAAGCCCATGCTTGATTCTACTATCAGTGTCATTTGAATTATGAAAGGTAGGACATGCAGCTCTTCTTTGATGCTCGCTACAGCAATTTATGTATTCAGATGACACTGTCCTGTTTGCAGGTACATCATATGGAAAAAATACCCTTGGGTAACATCAGATAAGACTTTGTTCTTATTATTTGCATGCTATTTGTTGTTCAAGGTTGGCTTAGCGCCAGAACAGGATTTTAGAAAGGTTGGCTTTGTGTTTGATGTTTGAATGTTCATTCATGACTTTGGAAACAGCAGCATGATAATCATCGAAACAATCTTATGACAGATGGGTATTTTGTTTTAAATTACTGTATATATCTTACTGACATGAACATAAAAATTGCTGTGTCACTGGCTGGGATTTGTAACCAGGGTGTAAGTCACCTCTACCTTGCTTCTTGTCCCCTTAGTCACTCTACACCCAATTTAGCAGCAGACACGTGTGCAAGGTACACAAGGTGTACCCTTGAAAAAATATGTTTACTCCCTTCTGACAAGGTGTTCTTGCAGCTCAAAGCTTGACAAAATAGTAATGAAAGAAGCAGAGCAGAGTTCTTATATACAGTTGCTCAGCTATCACATATGTTTTGCTAACAATCCATGTCAGTTAGTATCAGGTCCCCAGCAGATTTGCTGCTTCTCCCTGTGTCACAAATTTACAAAGCAACAGAGGAAAAAAGCCTAACCCTGTGCAGTTTTTGGCTGTTGAATAATACATCATCCAGTTCAGCAAAATTTCTGAACCCTGAACTCATTTCAGTGTATCTGACTATTTTACAAGCCCCTGCTCCCTTGCACTGAAATCCAATTGTTTCCATTTGATCACCACATCACTGAGCTTTCTGCTGATAATCTCAAGTTTGCTTACTTGGGCAAAAGATCTCATAACTGTTTAGAGGCTTAGGGCTGGACATAGATGGGATATAGTATGATGTCCATCTGTGAAATATGATGCTTCAGGGTTAAGGTCCCATGTATGCTAGCTGTGTGGCTCCTCATGTAAAGGTCTGTGCAGGTTTTATGTGCCATCTGTACAATCACAGTTGGACTGAGTATTATTGTCCATCTATGTCAGCAATTCTGATGTCATGCTAGAGAAATCCGCCCTCCATCTCCAGGTTTCCCCAGCTGTTGTTTCAATATTGTCTTTTAAATCCCATGTTAATAAAACAGTAATTGAAACTGCTTTGCGTTCTTCTGTATCCAATTACTTACACTTTGGTAATATGCACAAAAGCCGTTTATATGGCGGTTCCCTCTGGTCCATTTTCTGATTGATGTGTGTGTGTTGCACTAAATAGATCCTGTAAGTGCAACAAAGACAGCTGACCTGACAATAGTACACCGCAGACACTTTTCTCTTGCTTGAGTCTCTATTTTCTGTCGTCTACTTTAGCTCAAATACATTCAGTCAAGGTTAGTCTAGAGGTAAACCAATTTGCTGTCTTACTGTATGTAGGCAAGTTTCCATCTCACTCAGTTACAGTTGCACATAAAAATGAATAAGGGTCATGTTGTGCATTTCTGTCAAAAGTGCATTTTGCTTCTGATTTTTGTATTTTAGAAAGTTATTGCTGAAGAGCCGCCTCAGCATCACACCACTGTAACAGTATTAGCTGAATTAATCTCAAGAGCTCAACACCGTCTCATTAACAGTACCCACTCTCAATTGATTTAAGTTTCACTGTGTCAGTTGCCCAGTAGTTTTGCCGATTCAGGCTATTGCTTGCATTGCTTTGCAGAGTCATGTGCTTACAAAGCAAATCAAGAGGTCGTCTCATGAATTTGCTATTCAGTGTGGTCCGGTCTATCTGCTCCAGCAGCACTAACAGAACTGGAGTTTCTCAAGGATCTTTAGCCTAGTTCCACATCTGTCACATGTTCAAGAAGTCAGTTAGCAATTTCTTGGCTCTATTTAAATCAGAAGAAATTAAGTGAAAAGAAATGGCAGTTGGGTTTAATTATCAGGCAAGAAGATCATTTGTAATGAAAAGAGATTTCTAATCTGGTTTAAGTAGCGCTACAGTGTGAATGTTCTGTGAGCTAGAAACAAGTGGGGGAAACTACGGTATGCTATTTATTTTAAATGCATCCTATATGTTGCTGCAATCTTACTTTTGATGAGTTTCCTCTGAGCTATTTTGAATTTATGCTTGATTGTGTGTGATTGGTAGGACTGAGCAATAATTGAGCATTTTTATTTTGAAGCCATTCGCTGGAATTGTGTCCTGGCCAGTTGATCACTATATATTGTAATTTTACATGTTTCTGTTTTGCAATTCCAAGGAAACTGAAATTCAGCATTAAACACAATTGTTAATATTAAATGCATCTAAGTATTAAAAGCATATCTTGTACAGAAAAATGTCCTCTCTGAGTGTATAATATATAATTATGCATCATAATGGCTGTTAATACCGATGCAGTATTGTGTGTGTAACATGTTAATGTTGTACTAGGCTGAGGTGGAGCTAATTGTAGCTAATTTTTATACTCCCGGTTGGTTTACGAGGCAAATGTGTTACTATTTTTCTTCTTCTGTAGCTACAGTGTAAAGTACCTGTACAAGTACCTGTCCTTAAGTACAACAGTTAAGTAAATTACTTTATTTTTGTGCATGCTCAGTGTTTCTTCTGATGTAATGCATAACAGGAAAACACAGTACAATAGGATGGACTTTGATTAGATTATTTTATGACTGATTTTACATACATATATTTGAAATATTGTGACAGCTGACATTAAAACAACATCTAATACCTAGCTAGAAATATTGTTAAGTGTATTACATGATATTCATTCACTGAATATGAATGTTTTGTTTGTTTGTTGTTTTCCAACATCAGGTTGGCTTGCTACTGCTGTTTATGAGCAACAAGGCCTTTCTGGTTGCTAAGATGGGCCTGAGGCTCCCTGGCAGCCGAGAGCCCCTCAGGGCCCCAGACCCTGGTGCTCTGTGACGCGCTGGGAATTCCCCCGAGCTTGCACCTCCTACAGTACCAGCACCCTGCAGGGTGGGATGCAAACAAGGATGTAAAGGAGGCTGAACCTGGTGAACTCAGCTTATGTTTATTTTTATTTAAACAATATTTTATCTGCATTTTAGACTGACAAAACGTGTAAGGTTGATAGGTAACACTTTTGGTCTCCATTTAGTATTCATAAGCAGGAACAAAAAGGCTTATTACACACCATAATCTAGTTATACCTACAATATTTTGGTGTTTATTAATGCACAGTATTTGTCTGTATTTGTAACTTCTGAAGGCATATTTAAAATTTTACAGCTTTGTTTCATTTTGGTTATTACTTGTACAGCATGTGTCCACAGCAGAAGTTAGTTTTTGACTAATAAATTATATGTGCTTGCAACTACATTGTGCTAAAAACCATAAACGGTGGACTTTAAAGTGTTGCTGTAAAATATAAAAATAGGTCATGTCAACTTGTTCTGATTTACTGGGTAATTGTAGTCTTTAAGGTGAAATAAAGCATATACTGGTCTTTTTTCTAAAGTGAAATAATTTTGCCTTATTATGATCATCATCTGCAGGGCTTTTCCACATTTCTACAATTACCACTTCATTCATGAACATGCACTCAAAGGAATAACCAAAACAATGCCATGTATTTGATTCACACAGGTTATATTATTGGGTTAGTTGCCAAGTGTGTTCATTACAATAATAACGTGCAATCTGACCAGGCAAAATATTTGGCTATGTAAACTTCCTGAACAAACCGCTAAGTGTCAGACAGAATTGCCATTTGCTCTCCTGTGACTGGCTGTGACTGTTTTTACACCTTCCTTCTAAATAAGGCAGCAGGCTGCCAGGACATATGACCACTGTCCCAATTTGGGTTCTGGACACAGTATCCATCCATCCATCTATCCATCCATCCCATGATTGCTCAACGCCAATGAAAGTCATACACACAGACACACACACCCTCCCCTCCTGCATGTCTCCCAAGAGCTGCATCAGGTCTGCCACAATTAGCCAGAGGAAGACTTTGTCAACCTTCAAAATAAAAGCACAAACAGAGAAAACATTGGGGACTTGCAAACCTCAGTTCCTTGGAAATGAGATTCTGAGTTAATAAACTATATCATCTATCATGTAGACATTTTGTGATTTTACTCTAATTACTAAACTTTCAGTTGGGACAGGGCTGCAACTAACTAATGACTTCTGGTCACAGTGATTCTGACAGTGATTTATTTGATTAATATTTTAGCAAACGAAAGGTTTAAAAAATGCAATGAAACTAAAAAGACCAAATGCCCATCATGGCCTAAAAGCTGAAGCTGAACTGCATGTCTTTTTTGTTCAACTAACAATCCAAAACTCAAAACATTACAAGCCAGAACCTGCAAATGTTTAGTGTTCTTTAAAAAAAAAAAAAAGACTGCATGACTGCATCTGCCTTGAAGTATTTCATCAGGCTTCCCCCTACATTTGCAATTTATTTAATTAGGGTTCGAGGTTTGGGGAGCTGAGGTGATGCAGGGATTCACTGGAGCATTTGACACTTTTAAGAGCTGCAACACATTCACACCGAATAAAGGTTTTATTTTGAAATGTGCCACGGGAAACACTTGTTCTCATTCTGTCAGCCTTGTCTGACTTGTTTGACGCTGATGTGAAGGTGCGGTACCCCCTCATCATTTCTGTCAGAACTACTGCTACTGCTGGGGTCCTGTGATTCTCTCCTCCTCCCATCTCCTACTTTTGATGGGGGATGCAGCGATGAAGTCACAGTGATGTCATTTTAGGATGTGAGAGTCAGGGGAAAGGTGAGCTGGTTTTGCGGTGAGTGGTGTCCCCTCCACGGCCAGCGTTCCCTGTGCAGAGGCGCGGAGTGGCGAAAGATGATCATCGCCACCGGCGCCAATTCAAGCTCCAACGCGCTCTGTCCCTCTCCTCCTGCTCAGATCTCGGGCTATGGGGCCTTGATCTGTCTTGATCCCAAAATAAGCCTTTATCACCACCATGCCAAAGGACAACAAATAAGAAGAGTTTCATTTGTAGGGCAGATAACTCTGACCTCGTGCCCCAAAGGCAAACTGGATGGCTGTTGCGCAAAGGTGTCTCTACAGTATGTCCGGCGGAGCCAGGACGCACTGGACGCTGACAGTAGTTATTATACTGTGGACTTCTGTCTGGGGGATCGTTTCATCTTATCCGATTCCAAACAGGACTAATGCGACTTTGTTGGAAAAGAAATGGGAGACCCTCTTCTCCCGCTCCTATCTAGGGGTGGCTGGGGGGAAATCGGAGCTGAACTGGGAGAGTGACTATTTGCAGGGCATCAAAAGAGTGCGGCGACTCTACTGCAACGTGGGCATTGGGTTTCACCTGCAGGTGCTCCCGGATGGCAAGATAAGCGGTGTGCACAGTGAGAACCAATACAGTGAGTTACACCCGGCAAAGCACCGAAAAAGTGGACCCTGTACACAGGCTGCGTAAAAGTTAGAGCGGGCGGCTTGTCTTGCATGATATTTAACAAGAGGTGTCGGCATGGTTGAAAGTTTCAGAAAACAAAAACAGTGTACTGAGCCTCACATCTGTGCACTGCGAAATATCCTCCCCGGCCAAAAACATGACATGAATGTTTGGACCCAGTTTAGACGCAAACTTATTTTTACCCAGCGTCCGGCTGCAGCAAGGCACGCACACCCTACTCAGCACGCCGTCAACTACAGTCGCACGGCATTAGCTATAATATCTAACATGCAAATAGCTGGTTATTGCAAAGCGCTAATTGAGCTGAGAGCGCATCATCCAGTCGCAGTGCACCTGCAAGGTTACACCCATCACTGCTGCATAGGCCGGTTGCTCGACTTTGTCCCCACACTGCCTCTGCTGTCCTAACACTATGTTTTGTTTAGGTCTAATAGAGATCTCCACCGTGGACCGAGGGGTGATCAGCTTGTTCGGAGTGAGGAGTGAGCTCTTTGTCGCAATGAACAGCAGAGGAAGGTTATACGGAACGGTACGTTTGTGCGCAACTAAAGGGGACGGTTAGTTTGTGCGCCACCCCTGAAGCCCCCCCCCCCCTTCCCACACACGCTTATCCTGCTCAGTGTAAGATGAGTTCGTGTAGCTGCTGCATCCAAGGTTTATGAGCACTGTTGTGTTATTAATATGCTCTGATGGTAGGGGACTTCACAGAGCTCAGAATGTTTTAATGCTCAAATCTTCTGCTCTGTGTCCGAATCTGACAGCTCACAGCCTTTATTCATGGAAAAGTAATGCCACACAAGTACACGTGCTGCATAGGCAAACTATTAAAATACATGCTATTTTATAAGCTCGTTACATGGATGTTATGTAGGCCTGTAGCAGTAAAATAAACAAAGTGAAGTAAAAAAAGTACAACTCCCTATGGTATGTAGTGAAATATAAGTATAAAGTAGAATAAAATGGAAAGTTAAGTACAACTATTTCTAAATTTGGCAGTTCCAGTTATCTAATTTGGCCCCTTGTTGATATATTTTGTTTATTACTCACCAAGATCACAAAAGTAGGTCACAGTCAAAGACAGGTCCAAATTAACTTTAGAGTGACCAGTCTATTAACAAAGTTCATTTACAGTGTTTGTCCTAAACGCCAAATAAAGGCGAGAGTACTAGTGTTTTTATGTTTATGTTTCATTGAAAGCTGGAAACATGAAAACCGTTATAAGATAAAATCTGTTTCCTGCACAACTTTAAATAAAAACCTTTGTGTACAATATCAACATGCACAGTGCATATCCAGCAACTGTCCTCGTGCCTCAAAAACCTAAAGACTTGAATTTTACCTCAGTACATTTTTCTAACCTATAGTAGCACCAAACTGTGAAGTACTGGAAGATCACTCAGATTCATACTCTTCTTTACTTATTATTCAAAAAGGCCATTTCTGTTTTAAATAACCATTGCATCAGTTTCAGAGCTTTTCAAGTTAGTTCTTGTAGGACTGTTTAGTCCACGTTCAACATGTGAGACATTTAGCTTCGTACACAAGCGTGTTTAGTCTTCTATGAAAGATATTGTATAATGTATCAGTTTGGCGTTGGTACCAAGACTTTGGCATTGTATCAGCACCAGTGTTGAAAAGTAACAAAGCACTTAGAGTAAGTCAAATTTTAAGGCACAGTACTTGTACTGTATTTCAGCAGTTCTGCTTTATGCTGCTTCATACTTCTTTCACTAAATTTCAAATGGAAATAATGTTCTACCTTCACAAAATTAACTTCCTGATTTAATCTATTAATGCAATACAAAATCAACAAATATTGTAGATGAAGCCACCCAGCACTATAGTAAGTAGTAATAATTTGCTCCACTTGATCTGCAACATAAAAGTAATGGTTAATGCATCCACAGATGCACAATCCAATAATGAGTAGGTTACTTTTACCTTTGATACTATGAGTGTGTTTTGATGCTCATTCTTCTGCAGTTTCTACACTATTGCTGCTTTTGTTTAAATAAAAAATATGAGTATCTCTTTGGCCGTTGATTGGCAGAAGTATATTAAAAAATCCAATTAATACAAAGCCCTAGCTTTGTAATTGTGATGAAGGATGTGAAATGTCCAAATGAGATAAATATGTGTATTTCATGGAGCACAAAGTGTTGAACTTTCAGACGCTTACACAACCATACTGTGTCCATGTATCCTACTGCTCTACAGTGTGGTGTGTATCTGCATTTTAAAAAGGCATTTCTTTAAAACACATCACCGCCTCCAATTTCCATCAAAGCTTCCTAGGCAGCATGTTTGCCAAAGTAAAGGTCACATGGAGACCATGCATATGTTGTGATGTTCATTCTATGTCTGTCAAGAGATTTACTGACCGTCTTTTTGCTCTTTCTGGGCTTTGTTTTTTAGAGATTCTTTGGAGATGAGTGCAAGTTCAAGGAGACTTTGCTGCCTAACAACTACAACGCCTATGAGTCTTTTGTTTACAAGGGCTTCTACATCGCCCTGAGCAAGCATGGCCACGTAAAGAGAGGCAACAAAGCCACCACCGCCATGACTGTCACACATTTCCTCCCGCGACTATGAGAGAAACTGGCAATAACTCAGTAATTTGCACATGTGGATGTTTTTCCCAGGTAATATAGAAATGCCTAGTCATGATACACACACCACTGAACTGCAAAAGAAAAATATTTATTCTGTTTATATATCTGTATATTTGGACAGCTATCTTTGTATATGTATGTCATACTGTGCTGCTTATTGTTTTTATGGACAGGGAGGGTTGAAGCCAGGTCTCACTTTACCTTGGTGCTTGCTGTAACTGAACTATGTGTCACTTCCTTTTTTGAGATGGAGGATGAGCTATGTCCTGTGCTGTTAGAGTGAAATTAATACTTTTTATTACCTCAAAGAACCACTTTACTACATTTAGGGGATGCATGGAGTTCCATACAGCTATCTGCTAAGTTTATCATTTCTTTTACATGTTTGAGCATTTGTTGGCTCCCTGCTCCATTATCGATGTCGGGCGATGGGGGAAGCTTAAATGCACTACCTTTGCTGCACGATTTAAAGGTGCCTTGGAGTTCCCACTGGTGGCCCCCTTAAACTTGCATGTAAGAGACACCCGCTGGAGTCAGAAATAGGGCTGACACTCCGGAGAGGGCCTCTGGATGGAGGGGGAGGGTTGACTATCTCTGGTTTATTTTCTTTTCTGTAATTAGATCGATTAAGTAATGTACAATCTGTGGTCGAGACCAGAGAGCAGTCAGCCATAGAGGCTGGCACCAGGCCAAACGTTTGCCTGTGTGGCATTGCCACAAATAAACAGGGTGGAATACTTATCTATCCAAGCATGGAGAAAATTTTTGTACTGAGCTGCACAAACAGAAGAGATAGAGCGTATATAGAGTAGAAATGTACCAGCACATGGTCTTGGACAGGGCTCCTTCTGTAAAGTGGGTTGTTGTTTTTGGAACGCAAAGCTTCAGCTGCTGTTGAAACTGATGTCTACTGTCCATGAAACCACTGAAAAACTATGTAAATAGATGCAAATGTAAAAAAGAAGAGTTCAGGAGAATTTTACGCAGCTTTGTTGCAGTTGGCTGAACAGGGCAAAAAAAAAATTCAGGTTGCACAGTGAACCACTGATGATGGTGCCTGAATGTTTGGTAAGAATTGCCCCCATATATTTGTTTCTTCATTTAATGTATCTTTGCGTTGAAAAGAGAATGTGCTTGTCTGTGTGCTCTGCAGCAGCACTGCAGTAGCAGGGAGGTGTTGGGAGCTAGAGGCAAATAGTTTTAAATGCAATTATAGAGTCAGTCATGAACCTCAAAGGGCCATGCAGTTGGTAAACTGGATGCACACTACAAGGTTTTTTTTTTTATATGGTTTCAGAATTTGTTGACTTTTAGCCTGATTTTAAATATCTTGGGGTAAAACGTCGGCACAGAAGGTCCAAAGTTAGCGAATTGCAACACCTTTAAATACATAGCAATGTAGAAGGTATACATAGTAGCAGTTTGTTTACAAAGCTGAAGATGCATCATGCTTTGCAGATTTACTGTTAGTATGTGGACCAGTCTCTTGTTACATATTCCAAAGATGTTTTCTTGCCTCACGTAATTTCTGAGAATTTTATAGAGCACATTTTCCCTGTCTAGTTACTGCAGCTGTTCGCTTCAAAAACTGAAGCTTGCTCCATCACCAGCATTAATTGCATTCTTGTGTTTAGAGAGGAAGCAGGACTATTTAAATCCAGGAAAGACATATGCAAGGGAGCCAGCCCTCTGTCTTTGTTGTTGCAGGAATGTGGATCTGCCAAGATGACAGGCAGGCTCCCACATACCTGAGCAGCTCCCTCTCTGAACTTTATCACTGCCCATCACCACCTCCACAGTCCACCACCCACCTCTGCTTGTCCCTTTCCCCCCTTGCCACCCACCGGCAGAGAACTTGGGATTCCAGCTGTAACCTAGGAGGTTCCTCCTCTCCTTTCAGTCTTTTTTAGTTCAAGGTCAGAGTCCGACCAGCCATGGCCCCAGCCCTACTGGCTGGGGTGGTCGGCCACTAGGGTCAAACTGGCATGAAATAGAAATTTGAAGTGCATAAACCAACTTTGTATGCGTAAATACATAATTTAGAGAACTGGTGACTCGGGTGTTGGCCTCCAGCTGACTGGGACACAAACCTAGCATTTCCCTGCTTTACAATCTGCAATATTTCTTTTCTAAAGCTCCTTTACTCTCTGAATTTAGAGCTCCACCTCATTAAAATGCAGCTTCACAAGATGCTGCCCCCTCCCTTTTGCAAGTACTTGTGTCAGGATATTTCTGAGGAGGGGACATTGCAGAGTTAGTGCGGTGTGTGAGGAGCAGGTAGAGAGCAGAGTCATGCACAGCCTCACCTCTCCTGCTGCACTCCAGCCCTGCAGAGACGGCTCCCCGGCCAACCTCAGGACCCGCCCTCTGCTGCTGCTATAGGCCCTGTTCTGACCATAAACACCTCTCACCACCTACTGACACTGTACAGTATCACCTGCTGCTCAACTCTCATCTATGGCACACAGATCAGTTCATAACAGTATTTTTCTCACCGTTGAACCTCTTGCTCTTTTTGTTCTGAGGACATTTTTAAGTGCTGAGGCTACCGTGATGCACAGCAGAGCAAATTTTGTTCAAAGTTTCAAAAATCAAAAAAGACTTGTTGCTCTTCTAGATGAGGCTGCATGCAGTGCCACTGATGTACATTTCTTGTTAGGAGTAAATCACCCCTACTCTCAGATGAAGTAGCAAACAGAAAGCAATCCACATGTTCACCATTTTCAGCTGGTGTGGAAATTAACTGCGCATGCACAGCAAAGATCACCTCCCTTACTCATCTCTCAGTCACAATGTCTGGCGTTTCTATTAGCACCTTATAAACAATATCTTCATTCTAAACTAGTGCAAAGAAGTGAATTTCCCCCCACATTTTCTTTAACAAAATAGAGCAGAATCCCTAAAAGAGTGACAGTTTGTGACTAAAACAAAAAGCTCACCTTTCAGCTTTGACCAAAAAACATTTTACTAAGAATTATCTGTTGTCTGTTTTTTCTTTTCCACAGCTTATCATAGATCAAATTTACATTAAGGTGAGGAATATCTTTTTTAAAATAACAATGTACTATTAGCATGCCTTTTCCCCAAGCTTGATTATGTGTGTGTGTGCTTCCTGTTTTTTTTTTTTACTCCTATGATAAAAGGAGTGAGTCTCAACTCTATTCCTCTCATCTCTGTTCTCATATACCTCACCTTCTGCCTTAGTTTTGGTTTGTGAATGACTGTAAATTAGGAAGAAACCAACTTTGGTTATTTGTTTCTGCAAACAGACAACGCTAAGTAAGGATATTAAAGTTTTTTCCTTTTATTTTTGTACGTATGTGCTGTGCACAGCAGTCTACTGTATTCATGAGATAACAATAAAAGTTGGTCTTTTTTTTTACTGGTTTCTGGGACCTGGTCATTCTCTCTGTTGTATGAGGTGAACTTGCATGAGACTGTGTATTGAGCAGTGGTGATAAAAGTACAACAATATGAAATGCTCCATTATGAGTCAGCATCTTGCATTCAAGCTCCTCGTCAGTAAAATTTTAAGTATCTAAAGCAAATGTCCTCATTCTGCAGAAAAAAAGTCCCTGTGACTGAGCTAATATTATAACTGACATTTTTAGAACATTATTACTGATTCATTTGTGTCAAATTTGCATTTTACTGGAGCTACTTTTAACTACTTTATATGTGGTTTAGTCCAGTGTTTCTTACCTAGGGGTCAGGAGATGATTAATGAGATTGGAAGACAAAAAACAAACTTGGATCAGTGACTCTTAAAAAATGAAAAAGACTGCAAAGTATCATTAAAGCCTGCAGCAAGACTGCAGGTATAGACCTGACCGACCCTTGTGAACTATAGCATCAGGACCTTGAGGGAAGTCCAATCAATTCTGGTTGATTCCAGCCATGCCTTGTCTAATGAGTTTCTGCTGCTACCATCTGGTCATGTACAAGGTGCATCCAGGACAAAAAGACTTAAAAATTCCTCTGTTCCAGCCACTACTGACTTTTTAAATACTTAAAGCAGTTATTACACACAAGTGCTTATAGCTACATACTAGTGGTTGATTTTCTATGTTAGTTGTTGCTTATTGTAATTGTAGTGCGATTGCTACCAGCTGTGCAATAATTTGCGCCTCTGGGATAATAAAGTTGTTTGAATCTGAATCTGAGTCTTCTGCAAGACAAATCTGTAGTCTTTTAAACCCTATTTTAACCATTAATTTTTATGAAATACTGGATAATCTTTCCTCTTTGGGCCTTGAATAACTATTTAAATATCACTGAGAATTTTAGAAAAGGGACCCAGGATTGGCATTGTTTTCTGTTGTTGTTTTTTAATAAGGGGTGACACAAACCAGCAAAGTTGAGAACCACAGGTGTTGTTGGCAGTGTGTTGAAATGTAGTCAATACATTTGTCAAATAAATGTAGTGAAGTAAAAGTTTTGAGTAGCGTAAATCGTAAATACTCAAGTACCTCAAAATGCAAAACGTTTACTGCACTAAATTATCCTGAATTTTTACAGCTGCAAGTGAGTTTGATTTCACAGAAAAAAAATTGGCATTTCCAAGAGAAGATGTTTAAATGTTTCCGTGGAATCCAAAAAACTTAAACTTTTTCTAATGCTTTCATGTGTGCCATGTGGAAACTCCATAAATACAGTTTTGGCAGTCGGACGAACAACTTCATAGAAAGTTGATGGAAACCAGACTGAATGGGGGAGTGGCGCCCTCTGCTGATGAAATGATAGAACTGATTAGTGGAGCAGGTGCGCAGTAACTTCAAACCAGGACTATCCGTCCACTGCAGACGAATAGACCTGCCAAATGTTTAATGTAGTAAGTTCTTCTGTCAGGATTTATGGACAAAAGCGAACGTCAATTTATCTCCCACACAAGTAAAATTATGTTTATTTTATTCCTGTTTTGATGGACAAATCATTTTGAACAGGCGTTTATAATTACACTTCCTTTTTTCTTATATATTGCCCAACACATCGTGTTTCTAGTCCTAACAAAATCCTGAGCCAGAGCCTCAATAATGTTTAAAGTAGATGAGTCAAGACGTGTTACCAAAAATAAGAGTCTTGTTGTCTGACAAACACCATCGGCATAAACATACAGAGGTGGATGTAGCCCTTCCGCTGCAGCTCACCCGCACATCTGCTTTGGGGGACGAGGAGTTTCTTTTTTTACGCAATGGATGTGAGCAGGAGTGGCACTCAGGGGGCTTTAAATAGGAACTGTCTCCAAACTTTGGTACAACAGAGCATCTGAAAACTTCCAGTTTGCTCAAAGATGGACGTCAGCAGGAGACTGGGGATGAGGGACACTGTACTGGCGTTCTTACTCGCTGTCCTCCAGGGACTTCCTCTTGGAGAAACGGTTCCGAACGCGTCACCGCTGGATGGATCCAACTGGGGGGACCCGAGGAGATACGTTCACCTGCAGACGTCCACAGACTTCAATAACTTCTACTTGGAGATCAGATCAAATGGCACTGTGCGCAAAACTACAGTCAGGAGTTCATATAGTAAGTGGTTTCAAGATTTTTTTTTCTAGTTTACCTATTCCAAAGTGGTAAAATACTGCAAAGGTTGTTTACTGTTTTTAACTCTCGTTTGTTCTTTCGTCCCCTCAGGTGTGATTCTACTGAAAGCTGAAACAAGGGAGCGCATCGCCATATTGGGCGTCAAAAGTAGCCGCTACCTGTGTATGGACCAGGAGGGCAACACGTTCAGCTCTGTAAGCCAAAATTTACTTTCTAACCAAATCAACCCCTCATACAAAACTTTTCACTTTGAGTTGCTCTGTCCTGGCTCGCTTGTGAAGTTTTGTGCATCGTGTAAAACAAAGCTTTCTTAGTCTTACGCACAAACGTGGTGCAACTTTAGGACGTCATGTCATCTACGTATCACATCTTTTTAATTACTCACTTCAACTAATTGTTGCTAATAATTAAAACAATCCACAATCGTTTTATATTCGTATTATATTCAACCACAGTAGTGGTTTACGAATAGTTTCAGACCGCTTTACGCACTTTTACGCATTCAATTCACTGCAGCTGAAGGTTGTCTAAACATTTTTCAGTGAATTTCTTTTGTCATGGTTTCACTGAATAAATAAACCGAATAAGGTTCTGCCAACTATGACGGAGTTCTTTTATTTCGTATTTTTATAAGTAGGCATAATCTAACTGGAGACGATATTCTGACACAAATAAAAGTTAGTAACAGCGATTAAACCAATGTTTAACATCTTGTATCTGTAAAATGGAATACTCCCAGCTGCAGTTTAATCTTTACTCTGCCCTCTTCCCCCAGCCCATTTGCCTCAGAGACGACTGTTTGTTCAACCACAAGCTTCTGGAGAACAACCGGGACGTGTATTACTCCAGCCGGACCGGCATCCTACTCAACCTGGAGGGCTCCCGACAGGTGTTCTCCGCAAGCCAGAACCTGCCGCAGACCTCCCTCTTTCTGCCCAAGAAGAACACGGTGCCGCTGGCGCGCCTCCTGCTGCACAGGAAGAAGAGGAACCAGGTGGTGGATCCTTCCGACCCACACAACGTCTACCTCGGACAGACTGAGGAGGGCTCAGAATCCCAGGCCGCGCCGGAGGACGACGCTGACGAGGTGGAGGTAGAGGTGGAGGCCGGGGACGACAGGCGCAACTTGTCCCGTGAGACGCCGCTGGCTCCGTCGACCCACGACCCCTGGAACGTGCACTCCCCCCTCCCCGCCAGTCCCCGGAGCACCGGGACTATGGGCGGATTTTAGTTGACTGACAAGGGTGCTGCAAAGATTGGGCGCTCCCTTTACCTTACTATAAGTGAGTTCAAGTTTAACTTTAGCTTTTGATCATATGGGAACAAATATAAATCATCTCAATTTATTTTGAAAACGGGTGTTGTGTCTACATCTGTTCCAACCTTTAAACATAACCACCGCTACTAGAAACAAAGCTTTAACTCGGGGAATCAGATTTCGACACAGGACCGGAATCAGGTTGATCCTCCTCTTTCACACTGACTCAATATCATTTCAGACATTCACTTAGTCATCCAGAAAAGCAGTACGTATATACACTGAATGTACAAAATATTAGACTTGACTTGCAACCCCGTTGGCACATTTGTTAGGGCTAAAACTCAAATCTCTGTTCGTCTCCTGCTTGGAGGTCACTGCAGATTTAAAAAGTTAATTCAATAAGGGATATGTGTTTTACCTGGATTTATCATCATTCATCAGTAATAAATAGGCTGCATGTTCCGCTGGTTTGGGTGGATGATATTTTGGATACTGGGACGTCACTACATGTACAACTATAATATATTTCTGATGACTTTTTCACTGAAACAGTTACTAACAAATTACTGAAAAGCCAAAACCTTAGTTGTCAAATGCCAAAATGTATGACCCAAACCAATTTCCCATCCCCATCTCGATGAGCTATGTTTTAAATGATAAATGACAGTAAACCTGGAAACAAACAATCCCAAAATCGGACAAATCAGCACGTGTACATTAGATTTTTGTGGTACCTTCAATAAGATTTTTAACAGCTGGCTTGAGAAACTAACATTTCAAACTTAGACTGATGTTAATACAAACCTAGCCTGTCCACTGAGGTGAAACTTGGCAGGATGTAATTTAAAACAAAAATAGATACATGGATATACTTAACAGTTCTATTTATTAGAGTTATCGTATTCCTGTATTTTAAATTGCTACATTTACGGGCTGTGATATACAAGATCTGATGTTTAATTTTAGACGTTAAGCATAAAACAGCAAACTATATATCATTACAGTATCTGTTGTGGTTATGTTTCTCTATTTTTGCCTCTCATTCTTGACTTGAAAAAAAACATATACTACAGGATAAACAACCTTTAAAGACAAGTGATCTCGATATCTAAACTCTTGCAAAGTGATCCTACAGGTGCCGGCCACCACCAGCAAACAGGAAAACCAGTCCCAAAGAGTATTTATTTATTTAAATCCATTCCTTTATTGGTATTTATGGTATTTACAACAATGCTTTATGATAAAAAGTACATAAAAGAAAACATGGTTTGTCTCTGAATGTATTAGTTGGAGCTGTGGATGAGGTGCTGCTTGAATTTGGGACAAATTATAAACTAATAAATGAAAGATGTTCAGTGCTTTGTATCTTTCTTTTTTTTTTTTTTTGCAAAGCCAGACTTTTTAAAGGTTAGATTTTTACCACCCTGTGTGCTGCATCATTTGGTCAAGGCAGCACGATGTGCACGAAAGGAATTAATGAACGTGTAAGCAGGTTTAACGCTGATCCAGTGACACAACAATTCTGCTCATTAGCCGAATAACCTGCACTTTCACACCCCTTCTGCTTAATTAGGAAAAAGGCATGAGTTACACCTGAGTCATGTCACCTAAAATAAACTTTAGTACCACTGTTACTCTAACAGTTAAATTAGTCAACGTCATCCATTAACCTTTGACCTGTTAATGGAACAGTTCAACATATTCTTTGATGCAGTTGCCAGCAAAGTTCCAGAGCTTATACTGCTCCCAGCTAAGAAACAGAATGCAGTAGAGCATCAGCACACAACCCGTATGAAATGGCCAACTGTCATATGTTGCACTAGGCTTTTATGTATTAAAGAAACAAAATGAGGTGTTTATTTATGAGTTTTATTAGTGGCTAGACTGATGATTGTATTAGCTTCACACAGAGCCAGGCTAGCCATTTCCCCTGTTTCCAGTTTTTGTGCTAAGCTAATGTAAACTAACCTAACTAACCTTATATTTAACAGATGAGTATTAGAATCAGAACCAGAATCAGCTTTAATCCCCATGTATGTTGAGCATACAAGGAATTTGTCTCTGGTACAGAGGCTCTCAGTGTGTTTTAGGCAACAGATGATAAACAGACAATAAAACAGAATTTTATACATGTATGCATGCATGTATATACACACAAACACACACTTCGAGCTATCACACCGGTGCATGTGTAGTGGTACTATTTACAATTATTGCACTGCGGTGGTTGCAGAGTCCTGTTGCTTCAGTCATAGTTAACTGTTAATCAGAGTGATGGCGCAGGGGAAGAAACTGTCCTTGTGTCTGGTTGTTTTGCCCTACAGTGACCTGTAGCACCATCCAGAGGGGAGGGGTTCAAACCGTTTGTGTCCGAGATGTGAGGGGTGCAGAGATCTCCTCTGCTCTGCAAAGTGGAATCGCTCTGATCATCAAATATGTGCATTTGTAAAAATGACAAACTTTAGCTTTAAATGTTAACTCCAATCAAACACAAAGTCTTAGTTATGTCTTAGGTTGTTTAGTTAAGCTCTGCACAGCTCAGTGGTGGGAGATCTTTAGGGTGTGCAAACATTTTCCTGTCACTCCAGATGAGTGAGCTGATCCCTGTCAGTTCTTAGAGGTACCCAGCAGGAACAACTAGCCCCCCTGAAAGCCTTTAATATCAGAGAACGCCAAGTATAGTGTATTGTTTTTACTCAATTACTAAGAATTTGTTGAATGTCAACAACCTATGAAATAACTTGTTCATCTGTCAGCATGTGGCAATGAGCAGAGCACACACACACACACTACACTACTACACACTACTACACCCTTTACAAAGAATGTAGTTGTTTTACGTTTTGACTGTGCAAGACTCCTGTGAATTATATTTGTGTTCCTGCTCATATTGTTTGTTTTCAAGCAAAGCCTGACCTGTATGTAACAAAGGGAACTGCAATTCCAGTGTTGAGTAGTCCCTGTATTGCAGTACTCTTATGGATCATGTAAAAGTACATTTGAATGGGTTTTAGGTTTTTTCTGTCAGTCATTGGAGCTCACATTGTGAAATACTGTTGCTATGAATATCAGTCAGTGGAGAATAAAAAGTGACCAAACGAGCACTTAACAAAAAAATAGCATTATCATCGCAAATTAACAGCACTACAGCTGCAACACACGACATAATAAGATATGCCATTCACGTACACGCATCAGTGTAGCAATTCACGACAATGCAATACCATACATGTATATTAGCAGTAAATAAGCAGTGATGAAAGAAGCATTTCCATCAATTACTGTGCAAATGCTATTAAACACAGCAAACTGGAGACAGGTCACCTTCTATTATCATGCTTTGTTTTTTATCTGAACTGTTAATGTGCATGGGAGTCATTTCATTTTACCCTGTAGTAGTAGCATAAATAGATCACATTGAAATATTGCACAAGTAAAATGAGCAGCACCACTACTGCAACAGAGGAGCCATGGCGACGTGAAAACGCCACACCTACTGCTCAATAATACACTCAACAGTTTGGGCCTTGGTATAACATGGAAAAAGAGGCAATAAAATTAACAATATTAAATATTTAATATGACACGAACCCTTACAGACCTATAGTTGGAGGGATGATGATAATACAGTACCCAATTATTAAGTTATCCTGGCCTGTGCGTTGCTATATTCAGTTACCTGTGGTAACTCTGAGGTCTCTGCCTTTCTTTCCCCTTCAGTGTTCCTGATACTTCCATTAGCAGTACACCGTATGCATGCTTCATACATAAAACTTCCAGTTCTTTCCCTCTACACTACTGAGTAGCTGTGAGGTCTTCTGGGTGCTCCTTTCTGTTGGTAAAAACGCAGCGAGCATCGGAGAGGACTGGGCCGCACTCAGACTGGCTCAGAGTGAGAATAAAGCGGCTGATGCCTGTGTTTGGACAGGGAGAAAACAGCTGGGACGTCTTCACCCCTGTGGGCAGAGAGCACCTTAAGTCCTCTACGAGGTGCCTGATGGCGACACGGATGTAGGCGCCGTGGCTCACGACCAGGGTGTGGACCAACACTCCCTGCAGACCATCGTGAGCCGAACCAAGACAAGCGGCGTCAGAGGCAGCGGCTACAGATCCAGCAGCTACAGATCCATTAGCAGCTCTTGATGCCCCCGCAGAGGCATCTAGTCCTGACCAGCCGTGTTCATCCCACATTTGCTTGAAAAGGACTTTGAGGAATTTTTTGAATCGCAGCTTCACCTGAAAGCAAGGTGACATTGAGCTGGAACTATGAGATGACAGACAACACCAGCAGGTTTGAGAGCGCAAATCATCTGTCAGTGAATGATTGAGAGGCAAAAGTCTCTTTTTGCTGTTTGTCAGCTATTGTTTTCTCTATTATCTGGCATTTTATAGGAAAAGCTAGGACGGCAGCTATAACAATCAAATATATAAGACAGAAAGTGCATCTGCATGAAGCATAAACAAATGTGTTCCTATTTTATGAAAAGCTGACATGTTCATTAAACTATGACAACAATCAGAAACGTACACTCTCTCCTTCTCTCACTTCCTGTCATCACTGGGTCAGCTATCTAATAAAATAATGCTCCCAAAAAAAAAAATCATACTGCAATCACATTACAAGAACAGCAAAAAAAAGAAAAAGATTTTAAGCAGTGGTTAAATACTATTAGTCATTAAATGTTACCTAAATCAATAACTAATCACATTAACAGTTTAAAAACCCTAGTAAGCCATGACAGTGTGACAGTAAGCCGGCATGCACAACACTACGATCCTGAAACTAAAGCAGCTACATAGAATTTAGTCATCTTTTTATTATTTATACTTGTCAAAATGTCTTCTGTGGGAAAGGACCTTCAAGCTTCAGGCTCATATGATCATTGTCTCACCAATTAGCTTTGCAATGAATATAAACTACCCTCAGTCCAGACATTCAGTTTTAAAATACCTGATTTTTAAACTGCAACATCCCACAATGAACACTATATGGCACTGGTGTACAGGCAATATACCTTTGACAAAGTTACAAGTGTCTCTTTTTGACTTTCAGGGACTGAATGTCTGAATAATAAATCCTGAATGTATGTGACTCACCTGCTCTAAAGTCTCTCCTCCTGGTGGTGTGTAGCCACGACATGACTGGCCGGCAGCGTTGGCCATGTTCTTCAGATCCTCTTTGAGACGCCCTTCAGCGATGCCAAAACCCTGCAAAAACAACAAAACCACAATTTAGAACTCAAACAGAAACTACTGTAGCACTGTGTGTGTGTGTGTGTGTGTGTGTGTATGAGATATAAGGGATCTTACCCTCTCTCTGAGTAATGGTTCCAAAAACATCTCCATGCCAGAACAGTGAGTGTTGTTCCTCAGAATTATTTCAGCTGTCTGACAGAGGAAACAGAAACTTAGAAATTAGTGGCTCAGTACATTTATAAGCATCCATCATGGACAAACTAAAGTCATTCTACAGGATCAGTGAGTCAAAGACCACAAGACATGAACATTCACACAAGTATTTCATAAGTGGAAATCATTCACAAGCATCCTGTTTTTCTCTCCTTCACACTAAAGGAAAAAAAAAACAATACTGACCTGTTACTGGTTTGACTGAAATATTTCTTTATGCTGAGAAATTTACTATTCATATTGTAAAGAAGCAATACACATTTACTGCTTCTTTGTAGACACATTTGGTGATCTGGAAAAACCTGGTGCAATCTTGTAATGTCAGAGAGGAATGCAGGCAAAATAAGAGGTAAGAGTTAATATTTTACACTTGACTTAAGGAAAAATGTGCAGGTCTGGCTGGAGGACATTTCAGATCAACAATCACTTGTCTAAAAAGATCACTGATGCAAAGCTGTTACACAATTTTGCAAAATGCAAATCTGATTAAAATATGAAACTATTGGACACTGTAGTTTTTAGCAAATGTTATTCAAACCACAGTAAATACTGCACTGGGGGGCCTATTTTCTATTACGGATTAACACACATTTGATGGTCTACTTAATATTTATGACAGCACAACTGTGCACGTGAGACTGAGTCAAAATAAACCTAGTGTTCAGTGTATTGAAGGAACATGTCACCCAGGGCAAACATGTTGCTCACTGATGTTTTTAAAATACATGTAATGAAATATCAGGCTTCAAACACACAGAACAACACATTGTTTGTGATATCAGTGCATGGCTGACTGGAAACTGCCTTAAACAGGACCCTAATAAATCAGAGATGTTGGCTTCTCTTTAACAACTGATGGCTGTGCTTTGCCATGCTCCACTAAAGTTAAGAGCCTGAGTTTTGTTTACATAGTAGTCTTTTCTTTAGAGATCATATTAGTCATATTTCTTGTACAGCCTTCTTTCATCTGCATCATATTGCTAGGTTGCACCCCTCATTTACCGGGCAAGCACTGAGGTACTATCAAATGCCTTAGTGACGTCTCATATAGATTACTGTAACTCTATTCTATCTGGAAACCCCAGAAAACGTGTTAATCGGCTTCAGGCTATTCAGAAATATCACGCAAACAAAAATATCTCAACACATCACTCTGTTACCCTTTCACTTGCACTGGTCTCTTATCTTGAGCAATTTAAAATTCTTTTTAACATTCAAAATCACCACTGCGTACCTGACAGATTCTGTCACTTACTACACTCCTACCTTCATGCTGAGATATACTTCAGCTGGTGCCGGAGTTTAAACTTAAGACATTGGGTGCCAGAGCCTTTTCTAGTGATACTGGCATGAACTCCCAATAAACATCTGACTGCACAGTTCCATCACAGAACGTAAGGCTGCCTTACAAACACACTTGTTTAAGTTATTCTTTCATTTCTGTTCTTAATAATTGGACATTATTGGTTATGTTCTTGGATGTTATTGTTATATTATTGATTGTGTTTAATCTATTGTATGTTTTTTCCTGATATGAACTTGGAAAGTGTCCTTTGGTGTCTTGAAAGTCCTCATAAATAAAACATTATTATTAGTTGATACTTATTATTAAAATCAAATCAGTGTTGGCTTTGGTCTTTTCATAGGTGATGGAAAAATACTGTGCACAACCTTTCTTGAGTGAATCATGTCATGTGTGAACACATGTTGTGTAGTCATTGTTAAGGAGAGACTGTTCATTATATAAGGAATTGTCCTCTAGTTAAAGAGATCATTAGACATGCACATGATCAGTCTTCTGACAAGACAACACACAATGCTGGTGGAACCAAGATAACAGCTCATCAGTATGCTATGCAATGAACTGTATAAATGGCTCTTGAAGCCTTTTTGAGCATTTGCAGAGACACTGGTTGATGTGATGCTGCTCCTTGCAAGAATAAAGAAAGATGCCTTGATAATTTTCAAAAGTCTCAGCAATCCTTCGTCTCCCATTGTTAAATTTTTCTAATGGTATTTTAGAGAGATCATATAGAAACGTATAATATCCCAAGCCTTTTCATTTAATATGCCAACATCGCTACACAACAAATCTGAACAATCTGTCAGTCTCAAGTTAGTAACAACTATCCATTCTGCCAAGATACAGGTGATTTTTCTTTCTTTGATCTGTGCATGATATCCAGATGCTACTTGTTATCACCATTGGGTGATAACCGTCCTGCCTGCATGCTGACAGGTAGTTACTTCAAGTGACACAATTGTCACCTGCTTCTGTCAGTAACCCAACTATACAGCTCTGTCAAATGAATGAGTCTGCTTTACCTGTACAGCCCGTTGTAGGTTGCTGACAAACACAGTGTTGAATGTGATATCTCTGAGGTACTGTCCAGCTGCCTCACACTGCTGCACACCTGTTTCTGACAAGGGCATGTCCACACCTTGACCTACAGAACACAAAGTATTTGTCAGTGCAGTATCTGTACAGTGACGTTGCACATGAAAAAATGCAGCAAATTAATCTTCATTTTTTTAAGTAGAAGTACTCAGATCCTTGCTATCAATACAACAATGTAAAGATACTAAATATTAAAATTACTAGATACTAGATATTAAAATTACTACTGTTCAAAGTCCAAAGGTGTGGAGAGGACTGAAACACATCTCAGGTCATGGTAAAAGTGGAGATGGTCACCAGGTCGCGGGGGACAAGGCCTGGGCAAATGAACGGAATCTGTTTTTTAATAGATTGGTGAGCGGGAATACAGGGAGGTTGTTACTGACTTTGTGAAGTGGTGTGAGGAAAATCGACTGGTCCTGAACACCAGTAAGACTAAAGAGATGGTGATTGTCCCCTGGCGGAAATCACCAGCACTCACGCCGGTGATCTTGCAGGGCTCAGTCATTGAGATTGTGGACACCTTTAAATACCTGGGGGTCCACCTCAACAATAAACTGGATTGGACCAACAACACAGATGCCCTGTACAAGAAGGGCCAGAGCTGCCTCCACTTGTTGAGGAGACTGAGGTCCTTTGGTGTGCGGGGGGCACTCCTTTGGACTTTTTATGATACTGTAGTGGCATCTGCTGTTTTTTACGTTGTTGTGGACTGGACGGGAGGTAGCACGGACAGGGACAGAAAGAGACTAAACAAGCTGGTCAAGAGAGCTGGGTCTGTCCTGGGCTGCCCCCTGGATTCCATCGAGGAGGTGGCGGACAGAAGGATGCTGGTAAAACTAACATCCATCATGCACGACCCCTCCCATCCCCTGCACCACACAGTAGAGGCTCTGAACAGTTCCTTTAGCACAAGACTGTTACATCCCCAGTAACATCCCCCAAGAAGGAGCGTTACCGTAGGTCGTTCCTCCCCACAGCAATCAGACTGTACAACACATCACTGCAGGGATAAGCTAGGTGAAAGTATGAGGGACCATGTAATAGTCAACTGAGGTGCAATACTCAAATCCTGGGTTAAAATGCATGGTTAATACAGACATATGTAAATTCTGTTCTTGATTATTCAAATACTTGATTCTGTCTATTTTTGAGTACTTGGAATTTATTTATCTGTGTGTGTGTGTGCGGTGCTTGTTCTCGTGGTGTTATGCTGTCTGTTCTCTATTGCTGCTTAAGGTACTGAAATTTTTTATATCAAGATATGTGTGTGGTGTTTGTTTCTCATGGTGTTATATTGTTTGTTCTCCATTGCTGCTGAAACACTGAAATTTCCCCATTGAGGGATGAATAAAGTACCTACCTACCATGTTTCTCATTGGTGTCTATTTGTGGTTGTTTTACATGTCTTTGTGGTTGTTTTGTGTATTTTTGAGTCAATTTGTGTTTGGCTGTCTTTCCAAAAAGAAATGTTAACAGTCGCTCAATGGTCCCTGGGGCCTGGACCTGTGCCTGTTAAGTTAGGCCCATTCAGCAATCCATCCATGAGTACAATGCAGAGATAATTCAATTTGTTACGTTCCACCACTGTGTAACACGTGCTTCAAATTAGTGTAAGAATACTTTTAACACTATACCATCCCCATTTTAAGCCGTGCAGGGCTGTGTAGTTGAAATCAAGTGGGAGGAGGGAAAAGCGAGTTACAGCTTTAACTTAATATTTTATTAAGTCAACGTACCTTGCAGTAGCTTTTCTCTGTTGTACTGTGTTTCCCCACTGTGTGAAAGGACAGCAGTGTCATCGATCATATCAATCTATTTTTACAAGTGACAGCCTAGTAACTCTGTTCATAGATATAACCTACAGCTGGCTAAGAACACTGAAACACGATATACATATTTAAGTTGACGTTACTTAGGCCAACTTAATTGCTTCTGTTCACTGTTAACGTTCAGCTAAACATTCAATCGCAAAGCT